TTAACGGTTAACGGTTACGGTTACGGTTACGGTTACGGTTACGGTTACGGTTACGGTTACGGTTACGGGTACGGTACGGGTACGGGTACGGGTACGGGTCGGGTGGGGGGGGGGCGGTAGCCCCCCCCACCCTATCATCTTATGTCCCCTATTAACCAATCAAAAAATCATTCGATGCATTTGATCCCTTCTTGTACGTGCATTTATATATACACCCAATATAAAATATTAACGGTCAGTATGTGTCTGTAGAGCATGTAAGTGGTTCTTTGTCCTTCTTTCTGTTTACGAGTATGTATGCGTGTATCCGGGTGTTTAAATTATGTGCACACGTGTAATAGTATGTGGGTGCATACGGTTTACGCACATGTATGTGTGATTACAAGTATGTATGTGCGAATACGCGTGCGTCTGTTTGTTTGCGCGCGTGTATGTGTGAGTCAGTGCGTGTACTTGCGTGTTTGGGTTTGTCTTTTCCCCGTGTGCATGCATATGTCTTTACGAATATGTATGTCTCGTTAGGTTCAATAAAAATTCTAAAATGATTCTAGTCGAAAATTTGAAAAAGACAAAATACACAAAATACAGGAACGAGACAGAAAGCGATTGCGACATGAACTTGTGCCTTGTAAAATACTTGAATCTTCCATATATTCAAATACGTCGACCCTTAGAAGGTTCAAACTGCGAATAAATATGTGACCTATATATCGGTGGGGGGGGGGGGAGGGGATCCAATGTTATTATATATACACCCAACCACCCATTCGCAATGGTGACAACTGACAAGCGCAATCACTTAAACAATTAAAATTAAGTGCGACCTAGACATAGAATTTGAGTAAAATATGTGACCTAGACTGATTCTAATCGGCTTTGTGTTCCATCCTAAACTACGCTAAACTTCCAACATATCTCATTCCTAGTTTTCATTCCCACTAATTTTTTCTTATCAATTTCAAAATCTCAAATGTAAAATTATCTACAAAAAGTTAACGCCAAGAGACCACAAAGCTTTCAGTCCCCGTGTCGGAGACATGTTTTATTGTATATTTACATATTCATTCACATTACTTCATTTCTGGTTTTTAGGAAAAAAAGTATGTAAATATTTTACACCACGACCCACGTCGTCCCACGTTCTGCTTCTGACGGGCTTTAAATTTTAGTTTTAGAAGGTTATGATTTATCATCTGTTGGCTATGGGCCGTCTATAGCATGACTCTTTTATTTTCTTTTTTCGCACCTTTCTGTTGTCCACTTCGTTAGATGTCCACTTTGTCAATATGATTAGTCAGCATTTCCTGCTATGTTGAGGATTGATTCGTGGATATTACAAACAACTCAATAAAACCAATCAAACCATCTGTTATACATTTGGAAGTATCGTGTGTTTTTGGGTCTCTTAGGCCATAGCAACAGGCCCCCAGGCCACAGCCGCATATTGTAAACTGCACACTCAACACAAAATATCACAATATACGCATATACTATTCTACTTAAAAAAAAAAAAGCGAAGTCTATCAGGTACTGTACAGTACATAGTCAATCCACACGAAAACCAGTCGGCCAATAAGTAAGCCCTAATAGATGTTCTTTTGTTAGATGTCCATATTTTAGGCTGTGAAGGACTGGGACACGTAGCGAGGACTGTATTTTATTTTATACAGTATGTATGTACGGTATGTATTTTTAAAAATAACTGTATTTACACACATTTTAAAAAAGACTGAGAGGCTTTCTTTTTTTTAAATACGGGCGATTTACGCCGGCTTACGGCTGCGGCCTACGACTTACGAGGCTACGACATATTTATATTCTACTGTAATCCAAAATGGGAAACCTATTTTGGCGGCAAATCGAAAAAAGGGAGGAAGAAATTGTTTTTATTAGAGAAGGCTACATAATAAATATCATCATGATGGCGTAGCCTACTTCTAAATTGGACATAGTAGGCTATGCATCTGAAGAATTAAGAAATATCACGTTATGTTTGTGTTTGTTTTCTACTACCGCGTAACTAATCCGAATGTTGTATAGTGCATACCACCAAAGACATCCAGTAAAGAAAAATTAGGGGTTTAAGCTTTGTTTGCTCTTGCTGCTACCCTACGTGTAGCGTGACTACCAGCGTAATAACATACGTTTGAAGGAACTGAAAAGAGAGCAAAACTGGATTTTTGTACTGTACATTATACTCCACACTGAGGAGACTGTAACTTGATTCAGAAAGCTACTATATATGACAACAATAGTATGTACCGAACACATACAAACTAGCCATTGCTGGCCGGATACTTAGAGGTAGCTCTTCGAAGCGGTGCGCACCTTCTAATTAGCGGCCCTAGATAGGTGAATTATATAGATTCCGATGATCAAATATGCATAAGTAGATATATTATCAAATTGAGCAAGAGAGAGAGAGAGGTTCCTCAAAATATAGGGCTGCTATGCTCTAATCCGATATATGGCTATGTGCTTATTACTGCTTCGAGATAACACCAAAATTTAACAAAGCTTTTCTCAATTTTATGGAAAGAAATATTGAGCGCCATCTGATTGGTGATTAGGATGAGTCATGGTACCTATTTACCAAGTTTATATTCGTTCGGGTACACACTCTTTCGCAAAGATCAGGATGTGTATCATGTACATACGATACCCATATTTGACGCATTGCAGTGCATTTCGCAGACTATAACGTGCACACGTTCGCGTATCTTCTAGTTAAATCCACGTGCACTTCACGGCATTAAATTGTTACACATCTGTAGCCTCTAAATAGATAAGATACTCTTAGTACATATCCTTCAGTCCAAGAGACCTTTAGTGCAGCAATATGGCGTTGTCAGGCATGTTGGCCCCAAATTTGAAAGCAACGGAGAAGGTCGACTTCACATCTGTTTTGAGGAACTTCATCACAAGCTCGTACAATGATTCTCCGGGCGTAAGTAGAATATCACATTTTGCTCGTACAAAACCGTGTGCCTTCCAAAACAGTATGTATTTTTCGCTGCGTCTGACCACTTGATTGTGATACGAATTGATCGGTCCAAATCCTTGTACTGACAAACATTACCACTGGCTCGGATGTCAGCCAGCCAAATCCGGTTAGTCGATTTCGTTGTTTATCTCTTATATCTCTTGCCAGTATCCCACCGATTGCACATACTGGACTACTGTGTCACTGTATATCAGCTGAATACTCGGCCACATCTAATTGCTTCACGACCCACAGGCACACGATCAAGCGTTGGCAAGTATCACGAATATGCGGATGTCTGCAGCGCAAACAATCCATCCAGGTCTTGTTGGTGACATCATACGGTAATGAGCCGTGTTGTGTTTGCCGAGACTATTTGGTCGGTCTCCATATTTATCCCTCTTTTTGCAAGATAGGCACAGAGGTTTTGTTCACGGTGTTTCTGATTCATATACTAGGCTTGCTGAGTTTTGATTTCAAGTCTAAGTTAATCATTTCATATTACATAGTTTGGTTCTTGTTATCAACTTATCTCGTCCCATTGCGTTGGTTCGTATCAGGTATTGTCAACAGGCCGAAAAGCTCGCAGAGAAATTTCCTATGAAAGACACGTCGAAAATTCTAGTTAACTTCGACTGGGAAGATGCGTTTAAAGCCGGCAGAAAGCATCGTATGTTCCTTTGTGTCGCATACTTTTGCATCAATTATATGCTGTTTTCAACAGATAGGCATTTCTGCGGATATGACCGGCATTTTGCCCTGCTTACGGGTCATCACAATTGCGAGTGGCCCGGGCCCCTTGTGACATGTTTGCATAGGATATATACTCGATCGTATATAGCTATCTATGCGGAATGTGCGGTGTATTGCGTAGTAATATAGGCTTGTATACATGCAATTGTATGGATGTGGCCACTCACATGTCACGAGCGCCACTTTCATATATTTCAGTATATATGCATCCGCGCTTCACATGTATAAGTATTTCAATATTGCATATAATATAGATCTATATATAAAAGTATACAAGATCAGGCCTATAACTATAGAGTTATACGCTTATGCTGCCGATCCGGACCGATGTGTACATCTGCGCATGTGCGCTCTGTGGAAAATTTGCAAGTGTATTCTTGTTTACTGATTATTGGCATATAAGTTATATACTATACTTTTCCGAGTGTACTATTTTTTAGCGTAGTTGGCAAGTGATACATACTTGCAAATATACGTTCAGATAAAAGGTATCTCGATCCACATATATTGCCTTTCGTATTCCAAAGTAAACACAAGTGAACGGACAATCTTCGTTTCCCGTAGAGAATTTGTATTTGGCATTGTGACAATGTCTTACCAATTTTTATATCTATTCTCATCCGCGCACAAACCTCCATAAAATGCTTACTTCCGCCTTAAATTACAAGTGTGCTCAGGGCGTTGTATTTTTTTTTGCGTCAATCAAGTTACCCACAATACTAGACTCGTTGGCATTAGAAGTT